TCCCCCCCCCCCCCCCAACCGATCGACATCGTTCCCAGCTCGTTTTGAGCACGTGTAGCCAGTCATGCCGACTTCGACCCTCTCGCTCTTTGCGCCTGGCGTGGACCAGATGATCTCGCAGCTGGAGCGCACCGTGTCGGCCGTGGACGGCGACGTTTCGTTCCGCTTTGCGCCAACGCCTCTCGCCACCACGACAGCGCCGGACGGCGCAGCCGCCACAGTGTGGAATGTGCGCGCACACGAGTACGCTTCCATCAACGGCCACACCACCACCATCGTCGAGGACCAGCGTTTCCTCGAGTCGCACAACTACTTTGCGGCACGCGACCAGTCGGGCGCTTATATCGAGTGCCACTTTGACCATATTGCCGCGCCCGCTACGTGCGTCAATCGCCAGCCCAAGCACCACACCACGTATACATCGACATTCAAGCATGCTCGCGCGTTTGCCACCGCCTACCACCACCGCGTTGCCGCCAAGAGCCACAACTCGACCAGCTCGACCAGCGCATCCTCGAGCCAGACCACTCCGACAGCAGCGGCAGCGGCTGTCGTTGCCACCGCGACGCCGGACGTCGCAGACCAGGGCACCAACGCGACACCGGACCAGAGTGCCGTCTCCAGCTCGTCTGGCACCAACTCGCGGGTCAACTCGACGTCTGCAGCTGCCAAGGCAAAGACGCTTCCTGTGCTGCTGGTCGCAGCCAGCGTGCTTTTCACTGCCGTTCTCACCTTGCAACCCTAGATAGATCGAGCCGTTTCCAAGCTCCCTCGTCGTGCGGACAAGCGCTGGTCGCACTGGTGGCGGCCGCTGCGGTCCTGCTCACGACTCCCGCATTTTCGCCGCGGAGCTCGCTCACGTTCGGTTGCAATTCTTCCGCTTGTCGACGTGGGCTCGACGAGCTGCGTCATCCTTTCCGCACCCACCCCGACCTCGCACATTCGTTCTTCCGTTCCTGGCTGGCCAGGTCGTGTCACTGCATGCGTCGATCCGCAAAAGGCATTGTCTTGTTTTGTTTTGACGAGAGTGAGAGCAAAGAGAGGCTGAGCGTGCCCTGGTGGCTCAACTTGCATTGCGCGCGGCATCTTCGTCGAGTACAAGCTCTGTATCGACGATGATCTAAGCTGCGGATGTTGTGGATTGTGCAGCGGGGCCTCGTTGCTTGAGTTTGCGGCGTGGAAGCGCGATTTCGAGCGCCTGGACCCAGTCGCGCGTTCCTGTCCAGGCGGCGAGGATCTCGACGACCTGGTTGACCGTGAGCACTTTTCGACCGACAAAGCTCTGCTCGGCCTTTCCGGCAGTGCCGACTTCATCCTCGAGCGTTTCACCGCGCGCGCTGAGATTGCGCTCGACGGCGCGCATCATGTCTTGCGAAAGCGGTAGTTTTGCAGCGCGGATGCCGAGGCGGTCTGCCTTGGCGCGGCAGAGGCCCTTGTATCTGTTCTTGTCCACGATGCCGCCGATGATGTACGTCTTGCCTGGTTCGAGTTCGGTCAGCGTGTCTTCTGTGTCGGCGGTGAGGTAGATGGCATCGGAACGTCGGACGCGATGCCGAGTCTGGCGGATTTCCTCTGAAGCCGGATGTCTACCACTAGCGTCCTTCTTGACGTGGTCCGATTCGTCCGCCGCGTCGAGTGAGGGAGTTTGAGGATCGCCATGCAGCTGTTGAGACAGCAGAGACTCGATTCCGCCGTGTTTGTAGATTGTGACGCGCTTCCAGCGCCTCCAGACCCCTCGAAGCTTGCCGTCCATCGCGCGACCGATGCTGTTGTTTTCGATACTCGCCGAGCTGGCAAAAGAGGTTTCGGCTTGGGTTTCTGGCTGCGAGGTTGAAGCTGCATCGGGGACGAGTGAGAGCTGGTCTGGATGTACGTCTCGCAGGCAGTCCCGGGGCGCGTCTTGGCCGGTGAGGATGATCTCGCCAAAGGGCATTTTTGCGTTCCTGTTTGCAGAGTAGAGATACATGAGCTGTTGCGTCATGCTAGAAGCCTCTTTTTCCACCATGAGCTCGTCGAAGCCGCAGTCGATGACGAGTCGAGCGTCGAAGAACTGCTTGGTCGCTGCTTGTGAAGGAGCATGCTCGAGTCGGGAGCGCTTGGCCGCTGGTTGTGATGCGTCTGTGGCGCGATCCAAGTCGTTGAGCTCCGCATCCTGCTGTGCGGCCAGATGGCGCACTCTCCTGTTTTCTTTCTTCTTGAGGCGCTCGGCTGCGCGACGTTCGTGCTTGGTAGCATCTAGTTTTTGTTTGCGTGCGAGCTTCTTGGCGGCATTCTTGGACATGCCTGGCGGCGGTTGGATGGCCGGGCCAGCGTGATAGCTGCTGGGACCAGCTTTGGCATCCGAGCCAATCTCTTCGTGCTGCATGTCTGTTGCCTTGCTCGTTGCAGCCGTGAAGCGCGGTCGGTCGGGAGCCTGGAAGAGAGAGAGAGAGAGAGCGAGAAGATGCCTCGAGCCGCCTTCCAAAACCTTGTCGGTGCAAATCCGAGTCCCGAGTCCGCTCCGCCTCCACCCCGAGCGTAAGTGCAAATTGGAGGTCCAATTGGCAGAACGGTGCGGTAGAGACTTAACGCGACGCGTGGAGTGGGCGCGCCAACTCGGCAGAAAGAAGAGAGGTGTTGGTCTTGAATCTGAGCCTCCGAGACGCATGCGATACGTCTTCCGCACCCACCTATCCATCCATCAGTGCCTGCCGCACTTGTTCGCGACGACATGGCAGCATCCACATCCTCATCGATACAGCTTCGTTCGGCGCCGCTGCCTCTCACGCAGTATCACCTGCTGGAGATCCCAAGCGAGCTCGTGCACCTCTTTGACCCACCAGCCCAGCCTAGCGACGAACCGCCGTCCAAAAAGCGCCGCCAGGATCCAAGCAGGCTCACCATCAAAGGTAGATACGATGACCAGGCCGTGCTCACCACCAAATCACAGACGCTGGCGCTGCGTGCCGTATCGCAGTCCAACTCGCTGCTGCTGTGCAGCATCGACACCGACGGCATTTCTTCAGCCGCCTCTCTCGAGCCCGAGTCGACCGTTTCGGTTTTGCGCTTGCGCAGCAATGTCACCGACACGCTCGAGCTCTCGCCCGTGGTACCCCGACTCGACCGGCTCGTTGGTCTCCTCAAGGCCTCGCAGTACCAAGGCGAAGAGGAGGAAGACCGACGTGCTACCAAGGCAGCGAGGCCGGTGCGCAAATACACGCCCAAGCAGCTGAGAAGCATTGTGCAAGCGAGCCCTGCCGAGCTCGACGCGGGCCTCATCCAGCATCACATCATCGAGATGGACGGATACATGCGCCACATCTCGCCCACCTGGACCGTGTCGGCGCTGCAGTTGCTCATCTCGCACCTCGACCTGCATGCGCTTATTCCCGATCAGGTGCCGCTCAACGAAACCGTCGAGGCGCTCCAAGCGATGCACGGCCTGCGGCCGCAGGTGGTCACTGCGCTGCTCACCCAGTTCTTTGGCTGCGTCAACGAGCGCGACGACGCGATAGCATCGAGCGCAGCAGACGCCACCGCCACCATCACAGTCAAGCTGGATGTCAAGGCCATCGTCCATTTTCTGGGCGTCGAGACGCTCAAGGCGAGCGCACGCATCGGGCTGCCGCTAGCAGACTTCCAGCGCACCTGGACGCAGTCCTGTCTTTCGTCCGACTTTGAGGCGCTCGCGCAGCTCGAGCTGCTTTCGGGCTACTACCTGCTATCGCCCGCACCTTCTCCGAGCGTGTCGCTCTACCCGAATCCGGCGTCGGTGCAGATCCAATTCTACTCGCACCACGAGCTGCCAACCGAGCCGGCGGCGCGCTTCCAGGATCTCTTCCTAACGCGCGCCGCCTGGATCGCCTCGGACCTGCTGCCGTTCATCAGCGAGCTGGCGCTCAACGACAAGAAGAAGGACAGCCTGCTGCTCAAGTTCACGCGAGCGAGCAAGGCCAAGGTGCTCGACTGGGAGTTGAGCGACGCAGAAAAGAGGGCATGGAACAAGGACAAGAAGGTCATCGGCACCGACGGCAAGCCCAAGAAGGTGTGGAGAGACGTGGTCATGTACTCGGCGCGAGTCAAGTACTGACAATGCACCGTAGCGAGCGAATTTAATCCACTCGAGACGCGTGGGTGCATGCATCCAAATGTCGCCTTGTGGACCGGCGTGATGCGCGTTTGTGTATGTGTGTGTGTGTGTGTGGTGAGCCAGCGCAACAGCCTATTATTTCTGAATTCGAGTTGGACGGCATTTTGGCTGCCGCTCTTGGCAGGAGGGCCCACACGTCAAAGGCATGTCGTGTCGGAGATGCGGCACGAGACATGTCACCCGCAGCTCGCAGATCCGATCGACGCTGCTTTTGGCCACTGTGCACCGGCTTGCTATGCAGTAGTATCCACTCTCGCGCTCTGAAGCGAGAATGAGCTGTCCCGTGTGGCGACCCTGGAGTCGTGACGGCGAGGAGCATACCTCGCGGCACGTCGGTGTGTGCTGTTCGCTGCATGGATGAGCTTGAGCCGCCGCCGCTCGGCCCGCTCGCATTCCCCCCTGTGTGCGTGCCTCCTGCCGCGATCTTGCGCGCTGCCAGCTTAGCGCCGACCGCAGATCAACATCGAACCCCTCGCTCATGCCCACAACGTACAGTAGCACGCCTCGAGGCACACTTGATTCGCAAGTGTGGTCGTGCTGGTCACCTTGGCACGCCAAGGCGGTGCTACAACCGTGAGAAGCTGCTCCAACGGCCTCACTCCTTCCATATGAGCGGCTGGTCCTAGCCGAGTCCTTTCCTGTCCATCTCCACCACTCCGTTCCCCGTCGCATCGTTGCTGCTCTCCACCTCGTCTGCGTCTGCCGTTGTTGATCATCGACGAGCCACCACGACGATGAAGCTGAGCATCGCCACCGTAGCCGTGGCGCTCGCCGCGGTATCTTCGACCTGCATTGATGCGCTGCCTGTCCCGCTAGTGTCGCGGGCGCCAGTGCCGGACGTGTACAACGTCAACGTCAAGAACCTGTACCCTGAAGACACGCTGTTTGACCGTGCACGCAACCTGTTCTACCAGTCGAACCTGTGGAAGGGCCGCGTGTCGGTGTGGAACGTGGCGGACAACTCTCACTTCAACGTGCTCATCCCCGGAGTCTCTTCGGACGGCAACGGCGACCAGCAGATGGCGGGACTGTCGATGAACGGAGCGGGCGACAAGCTGTTTGCGGTGGCCAAGAACGCGGCCGCCTTCCGCTTCGGAGCGGGGCAGCGCAAGGACGGCGCCGACTCGTTCCACCGCTTCAACCTTCCCGTCAACGCGCAAAGCACACCCGCATGGAGTGTGAGCCTCAACGGAGTGCAGAACGAGTTTGAACAGCAGCGCGGCTCGATGCCGTTCGGACCTGTGGACTCGGCGCAGGATGCACAGGACAACTCGTACGTTGTGTTCGCGCTCGGCATCCCGGCCATCGCCAAGGTGTCGCCCGATGGCCGCACCATCACACCCTGGTTCGCCGAGGCGTCCAACGGCAGCGAGCGACCCGGCTACACGGGAGTCGCCTATATCCCCGAGGACAATGTGGTGGTGGCGTTCGGTGGACCCAGGCCGCTCACCGCGTTCGATCTGAGCCAGCCTACGCCCACGGCGATCCCAGTGAGGCTGACGGGGGAGAACTTTGGCGGACTGGATGGTACCGAGAAGCTGCACGGCATCCGGGTCAACGGCAAGACGAACCTGTTTGGAGCCAAGGCGCCGCTGGCGTACCGCTTCGAGTCGTCGGACGGCTGGAGGAGTGCGTCGGTGCGGTCGTCGACGCGCGACGAGTTCAAGAGCAACTCGCTCACCGTAGTCACCGAGGCCAACTTTGATGGCCAGCAGCAGATCTACGGCGGCGGCGCCTACTTTGGCGAAGGAGCCGATGGCGGACGCACGCAGTTCCCGCTCTACCGCATCTACAACCTTATTTGAAGGTTGAGGTTGACAGTTCCGTCTCTCTCTGTCAGTTCGCGCAACCTAGTTCTCGTCTTCATCCGCACGCTCTTTCTGTTCCCCTGTCGTCCTGCATGTTTTGACTCGTTCCCGACTCCTTTGCACGTTGCTGCCAGGCTTTGCTGAGCTCCGCTTGCATCTGGCAAGCGTGTGTGGCATTGCTCTTATCTCGCCCGGCCCCCCCCC